GCAAGCTGATCCGCCAGAACCCGGGCATCCTGCACAGCATCAGCACCGGGCTGCAGAGCGCCATCAAGGAGTGCAAGTGGCAGTTCCGCAACCGGCGCTGGAACTGCCCCACCACGCCCGGGCCCAACATCTTCGGCAAGATCGTCAACCGGGGTGAGGGGCCGGCCGGGCGCGGGGACGGGCTGGGGGCCGGATCCCTGCCGTGGGGGGGAGGGGGGCAGGTTGCCCCCAGGGGCAGCTCACGTGCCACCCCGGAGCGAGCGGGGTGCCGTCTCCGGGGACAGGCGGGCACAGAGCCTGGCATGGAGCGCCCGGGGCGGCATCGTGCACCGGTGCCTTGAGCGGCCCCCCCTCCCGTCCCCTCCCCTCGCCACCGCAGGCTGCCGGGAGACGGCCTTCATCTTTGCCATCACCAGCGCTGGCGTGACGCACTCGGTGGCCCGGTCGTGCTCGGAGGGCTCCATCGAGTCCTGCACCTGCGACTACCGGCGCCGCGGGCCCGGCGGCCCCGACTGGCACTGGGGCGGCTGCAGCGACAACGTCGACTTCGGCAGGGTCTTTGGCCGGGAGTTCGTGGACTCCAACGAGAAGGGCCGGGACCTGCGCTTCCTCATGAACCTGCACAACAACGAGGCCGGGCGCATGGTGAGGCCGCTGGGAGTGGGGGGGCACGCGTGAGCACACGCAGGCGTGCACACTTCTACCTGCCTGCACACGTGCGGGCTGGGGAAAGGGCTTTGCACCCTGGGTGCTGGTGCCCGTGGGAGGCACAAATTGCTGCGTCAGCTCCTGGAGGAGCCCCAGCCTCAGCGTAGCAGGATGGGGGCAGGCGTGATGGCTCTGCCCAGCTCTGGGGGGGGTGCAGCGTTCCCCCAGGTGCCAGCTGTGCCAGGAGCAGGCTACTGTTCCCATCCCCACAGCGCCTGGCCTGAGCCGGCCCTTGCGACCCAGGGCACCAGCTAGGCCCGGCTGGGGGGGAATACACATCTAGTGCCCCTTGGGGGGGGGATCCCGGTGGGTGGAAACTCCCCCCGGGCCCTGCTGGGGGAAGCTCCTGGCACCGGGTCCTGGCAGGCATGGTCGAGGGCCCACATCACGGCGTGGCCGTCCCTTGCAGACAGTGTTTTCGGAGATGCGGCAGGAGTGCAAGTGCCACGGGATGTCGGGCTCGTGCACGGTGCGGACGTGCTGGATGCGGCTGCCCACCTTCCGCACGGTGGGCGACTTCCTGAAGGACCGCTTCGACGGCGCCTCCCGCGTCGTCTACGGCAACAAGGGCAGCAACCGGGCGTCCCGCGTGGAGCTGCATCACCTGGAGCCCGAGAACCCGGCCCACAAGCCGCCCTCGCCCCACGACCTCGTCTACTTCGAGAAGTCGCCCAACTTCTGCACCTACAGCGGTCGCACGGGCACAGCCGGCACGGCCGGGCGCTCCTGCAACAGCTCCTCGCCCGCCCTGGATGGCTGTGAGCTGCTGTGCTGCGGCCGCGGCTACCGCACCCGGACACAGCGGGTCACCGAACGCTGCAACTGCACCTTCCACTGGTGCTGCCACGTCAGCTGCTTGAACTGCACCAACACCCAAGTGCTGCATGAGTGCTTGTGAGCGGGCAGCGCCTGGAGCCCCCTGCCCTGCCGAGGCCCCCCCGCCCACCTTTATGGCAGCCCCGGGGCCCTGGAAGCAAACCCATTTCCCTGCCCCGCTCCGGCACGGCAAAGCCTGCCGGGGGGGGAGCACAGACACATGGGGACGGCCTGGCACAGTGGGGGGCATCCTCCATAGAGCCAACGGGCAGCAACCCTGGCACCATAGCGGGGCCAGGTGGGCAAAAGGGACCAGGCCGGCAGCTTCCTTGTACACCCCCACTGCTCTACAACCCTGGCCGAAGGGGGGGTCCTGGCTCCACAGCCCAAGACAATGGGGCAGGGGGGAGAGCCCAGAGCGGTGCCCCTCTGAGGTCAAGATTTGAACCAGTGACCAGGACAGGGGGTGGCTCAGCAGCCCCCTGCCCCACCCCCCCAGCCAGATGCTCCCCGCTCTTCCTCTGCCGCATGTGCGGGAAGCTGAAGGGTGCCTGGACGATGACACACTGCACCGGTGTTTGCAGCCGGCGCCGACTGCCACGTGCTACGGGGCCTCGCACGGCTTTGCCAGGACAGCATCCAACCCATAGCCTGGCTCTGCCCGGGGGCCGTGGGAGTGACGCACAGAGACGCGGTGGGGGGGGTCTCTGCTCGCCTGCACATACGCTATTTATTGGGACTGGGTTTGTATCGCCTCGGCGGCCCCTGCTCTTAAACACTCCCACGTGCTGGATCCGGCCGTGCCCCTTCCTCCCCTGTGAGCACTGAGGACGCGGCTGCTTCGTTACGGATAAACCTGTAGGCTCCTAGAGAAGAATAAAGTCTATTTTTATCAAGAGCGGGGAGTGGAGCATCACTGGGGCGGGATGGGGGTTGGGGCGGGATGGTGCTTTGCAGAGGCGATAGCGGTGCTGGGGTGGGAGCAGCCCCCAGCCCAGAGACCCGCAGCCCGGAGCTGCCCTGGCTCGAGGGACAGCGGTGCCCCCACGTCCCCCTCCCCAGCCTCCCTGCCACCCCCATGCACAGGGCATCGGAGATGGGGGCAGAAGCCAAACAAAACCCTGACACTTGAGGCCTCTACAGAGCCGAGCTCCTGACTCCTGGGTCCTGCGGGCAGCCGGGTGGCACCGTGGCCAATGCCAGGATCAATCCTCCCTCCCCTATGGTGCCAGCTGCCTCCTATGTTTTGGGCGATCCTTGCCCCATTCCCCTGCCTCAGACCTGGCCTGGGGCTCTGGGCCCAGGGAAAGCAGCCGTGAGCCCCAGGGCGCCCAGGCCATGGTCCAGTCCCTGTTGGCAGTGCTGAAAGCTCACGGGGTCTCTCCCCACTCACGACTTCCTCCACCAGAGATGTTCCCAGTACGGTCAAAGGCCCCCCGACAGCAGCCAGGCCCGGCTGCCTGGGGGGGCATGGGTACAGGTTGGGGCGGGGTGGGGAGTCTGTATTTAACCCCCAAGATGCTGCAGGGGCCTTTCCTCCCCCCAGTCCCTGCCCTGGCCCCTGTTTCCAATTACCCGCTCAGCGCAGGAGCCCAGACCCCGCTAATCCTGCGGCCCTGGCTCCACACGGCCTCCCCCCAGGGCAGGTGGGGAGCAGTGGAGCCACAGCCCCAGCATCTGGAGAGCACGTGGCCACCCATTTGCCCTCGAGCCTGATCGTGCGGGGGGGCAGAAATGAAGCCCATGCACCAAAAGTCAGGCTGAGGGAGTGGGGCAGAGGCCTGCCTGGGGCTGGGTCCTGGGCACAGGGCTTGACCCACTCCAAGCCCCACGTCCAACTGGTGTGTGCGACACGTGTGCCTCTCCCCCCCGCCCTCCCGGATGGGCTGCGTTGGTGCCAGGTAGGGCTCAGACATGCGCCTCTGCTGGGATGTGGGGCTGATCCCCCCAGAGAGCACCCTATATCCACCCCCACCCATGACTCGCAGCCAGCTGTGGGGGGCACGGTGGCGGGTGAGCACACGGGGGCTTGGAAGCAGAACAGCCTGGGGCATCCTCTGCTCTTGCTCCCCCCTGGCCCCATCCATCTGTCCATCTGTCTGTCCCCCGGCTGCCTCCCTCGTGCTTGCGTCTGCATTTCCAAGGCGCCCATCACCATGGCATCTCGGGGCCCCGATGCTATGGGGACTGGGCCGTTGGAATGTGCTGGGGCTGGCGGGATGGTGCCGCCAGGGCCGGGGCATCGCCAGCGGCCGCAGGGGGCCAAAGACGACAGACAGAGAACGAGCCATCGTCCATCACTGTCCCCTGGCCAGGAGCCGACAACCTCCCCCCTCCCCGGCGCTGGCTCTGTCCTGCACTGAGACAGACCCAGTGCCCCCCCGGGGGGGGTGTGGAGGGTCCCCACACACAGACCCCCCTGTCAGGCCCTGAAGAAGGGGACAGCGTCTAGGACATCTCCGCCCCCGCCCCAGCCCCAGGGCAGACACCCTGCCCGGCACCGCGCGCATGTCTGCGGCAAGGCCTCCAGATGTTGTACAGCTTCCCAGATGTGACGGCTCTGTGGGGCGGGCCGGGGCCGGGGCCAGCCTTCCCGGCGCTGCTGGGGGGAGACAAGGGGAACAGGGAGCTCTACTGAAAGCCATCCCATGGATCGAAGCAATCCCGGGGAGCTGGCACCCCGCGTCCACATGGGCCCGGGGGCACGCGTCAGCTGGAGGCATATCTCTGCTCGGCAGGCCCTCAGGAAAAGCTGAGTAACGGAGGTGACTTATAAGAATGTCATTATCTATATTCTTAACTCGCTGCCGCAGGGAGACATGGCTATTTTCATGCCCCGCGTGTGCAGAATTTAGCAGGGCGCTCGCTCGAGGCAGACACAGCCCGCGAGGGCTATTTCGGGCTGTGTTTCTTTCCAGCTGTGTTTTCCCCGGCCCGCTTCCCGCCCCGGGAGTGTTGTCACCTTGGCGGGAGCAGAGGGACCTTTTCTCCCTCCTCCCCAAGCGTCAGCTTTTCCATGAGCAGCTCCGCGCAGTATTTCTGGAAGCGCGCGGTCAGGCTCCCGGCCCCCCGCCCCAGGACACCTCTGCATGGGCCCAGTGCCAGCGTGGCCCTTGGGGTGGCTCGGCTGGGGCTCGGGCCTGCCAGGGCAGGTAGCGCTGTGTCCTCAGGGGCCAGGAATGCCCCTCCTCTTGCAAACTCCCCGCACGACACAGCGCTGCATGCAAACCTCTTGGGCCAGGGAGCCTCCAGCGCCTCACAGTCTGCTGTCGGGCATACAATGTGGGCCAGGGGGACTCGTCATAGCCTGCTGAGCCCCCAGGAACATGCCAGCCCTGCCAGGGGTTGGCACAAGGGTCCCAGGCTAGGCCCCTGCAGCCTAGACCAGGCCCTGCACCGGACACCACGTCACATCCCTGCCAGGTACCACGCACGCCCTATGCCATGCAACACGCCATCCCCAGCACTGAGCACATATGATACCGTCACATGCCCCAGCCAGGTAGCATGCATGCCCTGTGCCATGGCACATGCCATCACCATTACTGCACACGTGTGATACCACGCCACACACCCCAGCCGAGTACCACACACATGCCGTGCCATGCAACACACCAGCACCAGCATTGCACACATATGACACCACGTCACACACCCAGCCCGGTACCCCACGCGCCATGCCGTGCTGTGAGTCATCACCGGCCCTGCACACGTGTGACGCCATGTTGCACCCTAACCCAGGGCCTACGCATGCCCAGATGTTATCACTGGCACTACGCACCGGCTGCCGCATCCCCCGCATGCCTGGGCCTGCCCGCCATGTTGCACCAGCCCCTCCACAGACACTGCCAGTCCAACCCGCCCAGGATCGGGGCCCGCCCAGGGCTCGCCAGGAGCCCAGCCACGGTGCCTGGCGCCCACGCCGCGCCACGCAGGAGGAGGGGGGCCGGGGCAGCTGTGGGAACGGGGGAGCCCCCCCGCGCCAGCGACTCTGCGTCAGCTTGAGCTCGGCCCGTTTCACACTGATCCTCGGAAGTGATTTAGCCGTCGCCGCTCGCGGCCCTGCCATTGTGGCCCCGCAAGCCCCCGGCCTGGCTTCTAATTAACTCCTTGCGCCTCCCTGTTTGTGTCCGGCCCCTGCCCCACCTTGTCGGCCCGCCTCCCCACTTCCCCCCGCCCCGGGCGCATTCCTGCCCGCCCGGGCCAGCGTGCCCCAGCAACGGCGGCCGGGAGCGCCTATAATCCCCGGGCACGCCGGCCTCTGGTGGGAAGGCCGCCCATCACCTACTCGCTGTTAGGTGACCGATGCCTGAGACAAACAATTAGGAACAAAGGCGCGGGCCCCAGGGGTCTAACACAAACCTTCACGGGGAGGTTGTGTGGCATTTGGGGAGTTTAATGAATTGTCCATCACGCCTTTCAGGGCTGGTCGCCCGGGCGGGATTAATCTGAGAAGCCCCAGTGGGGTGGGAGCCGCTAAGCCTGTATTTATTACTCTTCCATTGTAACTAATTGAGGTAATTATCTGTGACTCCAGCACCGCTTAACAATGAAGCATTCACGCCGCAAAGCCGGCCGACCCCCCCCCCCCCCCCCCCCCCC